AACAATACTCATCAGCATCAGATATTAGTAAATCCTTTCTGCTGACTAACACTTCACTTCAGAGAGGTTTTAATTATTTTCATCATTAACGTACTGATGCCAGAAGTGTTAGACTTCACTACTTACAAACTATCAAACCAACTGCAATTCTGAACACTAATACTTTCTAAGAATATAAGACCTGAACGTCGCTTAAATTTTCCAAATTGATGAAGGGGGTTTAGGCAAGTTTGGCCAAAGGCATAAAAAACGTAGAACACCCACCACAACCGCTACCCAAAGCCCGGAACCCACCAAAATCCCCACGGAAACCATGTGCAATAAGATTGCAGACAGCTACTGAAGGTCGTTGGTGGGTTCCAAGGCTTACAGTTCTACGTAATCTATGCCTTCAGGGGAGATTACTCTCCCCTGCTATATGCACTCATAATGCATATAGCAGATTCTCCAGTTCTCTACCTTACCTATCCTACTTAACACTACCTAATTCCAAAAGTTATTTTGGTAGTAGAAACTACTTAATTGTAGACCTAGAAAGTTATATACACCACGACTATGCAGCATACTCCAGGTATAGGCCTTAGTATTTGCAGAGCAGTGGCAGGGCTAGGGGGGGATGAAGGGAGGTAAAAGTAAGATCAAGGGTGACTCACGAAATCGTAATGAAAAGATTGCAAACCATACCACGGGTGGGGTGTGAACCCGCAGTCTAAAAACTCCAGACCGTCGCTAACGCGACGGTGTGGAGTTTTGAGATCAAGGGGTTCTAGGTGAGATCAAAGGGGGGTCTAGGTAAGATCAAAGGGGGGTCCAGAAAAGATCAAAAGGGGTCCATGAAAGATAAAGGGAGGGGGGGTTTGGGTAAGATCAAGGCGGGTCTGGGTAACATCAAAGGAGTCTAGATAAGATGAAGGGGATCTAGGTAAGATCAAGAGAGTCCAGGTAAGATCAAGGGAGTCTAGATAAGATCAAGGAGGTTTATGTAAGATCAAGGGGGTCTAGGTAACATCAAGGAGGATTAGGCAAGATCAAAGGGGTCTAGGTAAGATCAAAGGGGAGGTCCAGGAAAGATCAAAGGGAGGTCCAGGAAAGATCAAGGAGGGGTTTAGGTAAGATCAAGGGGGGTCTGGGTAACATCAAAGGAGTCTAGATGAGATGAAGGGGATCTAGGTAAGATCAAGGAAGTCTAGGTAAGGTCAAGAGGGTCTAGGTAAGGTCAAGAGGGTTTAGGTAAGGTCAAGGGAGTCTAGGTAAGGTCAAGGGAGTCTAGGTAAGGTTCAAGGGAGTCTAGGTAAGGTCAAGGGAGTCTAGGTAAGGTCAAGGGAGACTAGGTAAGGTCAAGGGAGTCTAGGTAAGGTCAAGGGAGTCTAGGTAAGGTCAAAGGGAGTCTAGGTAAGGTCAAGGGAGTCTAGGTAAGGTCAAGGGAGTCTAGGTAAGGTCAAGGGAGTCTAGGTAAGGTCAAGGGAGTCTAGGTAAGGTCAAGGGAGTCTAGGTAAGGTCAAGGGAGTCTAGGTAAGGTCAAGGGAGTCTAGGTAAGGTCAAGGGAGTCTAGTAAGGTCAAGGGAGTCTAGGTAAGGTCAAGGGAGTCTAGGTAAGGTCAAGGGAGTCTAGGTAAGGTCAAGGGAGTCTAGGTAAGATCAAGGGGATTTAGGTAAGATCAAGGGGATTTAGGTAAGATCAAGGGGATTTAGGTAAGATCAAGGGGATTTAGGTAAGATCAAGGGGGTCTAGGTAAGACCATGGGAGGTTTAGGTAAGATCAAGGGGGTCTAGGTAAGACCATGGGAGGTTTAGGTAAGATCAAGGGGATTTAGGTAAGATCAAGAGGGTCTAGGTAAGACCATGGGAGGTTTAGGTAAGATCAAGGGGGTCTAGGTAAGACCATGGGAGGTTTAGGTAAGATCAAGGGGATTTAGGTAAGATCAAGGGGTCTAGGTAAGACCATGGGAGGTTTAGGTAAGATCAAGGGGGTTTAGGTAAGATCAAGGGGTCTAGGTAAGACCATGGGAGGTTTAGTAAGATCAAGGGGATTTAGGTAAGATCAAGGGGGTCTAGGTAAGACCATGGGAGGTTTAGGTAAGATCAAGGGGATTTAGGTAAGATCAAGGGGGTCTAGGTAAGACCATGGGAGGTTTAGGTAAGATCAAGGGGGTTTAGGTAAGATCAAGGGGGTCTAGGTAAGACCATGGGAGGTTTAGGTAAGATCAAGGGGGTTTAGGTAAGATCAAGGGGGTTTGGGGAAAATCAAGGGGGTCTAGGTAAGACCATGGGAGGTTTAGGTAGAGATCAAGGGGTTTAGGTAAGATCAAGGGGGTCTAGGTAAGATCAAGGGGGTCTAGGTAAGATCAAGGGGGTCTAGGTAAGACCATGGGAGGTTTAGGTAAGATCAAGGGGGTTTAGGTAAGTTCAACGGGGTCTAAGGTAAAGTTATCCCGTCATGTGAAGTTTAAACTTTGGTTGTGTAGTTTTAAAAATAGGTTAGACAAACGAGTGGTTGAGAATTGAACCTGCCTAACATGGGTCTATAGGCCTGCTTCAATGCTCCTTTATTATATCTTAATAATGAATATGCCTGATTTAATAGGCCTTCTTTACACCCGGCATAAAGACTTCTACCATTACCCTCACCAATAAACTATCTCAGTATAATTATTAACCCGGTAAATTAACACAGAATTACACCAAGTCAGGATATCTATGACATTTTTATCTGGGTATTTATACTCCCCCAGGATGCCACCCCTACCAGTAGGCCTGCTGCAGTGTTACTCTATGTGAACAGTGCCAATGGATACAAGGGAACATGCCCACATGTGCCCGGGATCGAATCTCGGTTCTTCAGTCGAGGCCACTACCAACTGAACCATGATACATCATTACACATTTCATCTCTGCTTCCTACAATCTTATAGGATGGATATTGACTGTAAAATACATTAAACTAACTAAAACTTCATAAAATGTAATCAGTCTTCAATCAGCCTAGCATGTGCATGTGCTTTACAACCCATTTCTCCAATTTTTACTTCCACCTCATTCAAGGTAACCTATAGGATATATTCCTTATTATTTCCTGGCCAGAGATTTCATCTCTGGTCGGGAGATAAACTAATACTTCCCACTAAGCTACTTCTGATATCAATTGCTAACAATCTTTCCTATACTCTCCTCACCACCTTCCCACATTACAATTACTATCTGCTTCAGTAACCAAATTTAGTGGACTTATAACCTGGAAATACCTTACAAGTGGGCCCTGCCCACTTTTAACGACGTCTCCAACTGCTGCATTTCCATATAACACTGTTATGGGTGAGGCCATTTACTAGTGTGGTTGTCTCCACTCCTCAGACTGGTCAATGTTGCTGTGTTGATCAATGTTGCAGTAGACAGCCAGACGCAACAATCCTCAGTTACCACACCTGAAACAAAACACATTTGTATTATAACCATGAACATTACACACATTTATAGGCAAACATTACCATGTAATATAAACTAGTAACATTACTGCCTGACTGATATACCCATTAATGTTTAACATGGTAAGTAAAACTATATCTTTCTTTAATAAATATTTTTTGCACATAAAACTGATGACTAACAATTTGGATCACAAGGAGCAAGTTCCTTGGATCAAGAGACCTTCACTAAGTTATTTTTCAATAATGGAAAAAAAAATAGCCCAAAACTGGATACACCATTATGGGTTATGTAATGCCTAGTGTGAGAATTATTGTTTGATTAGAGGAAGGGGAGTAGCTCCAGTTCCTCGCATCAAAACCCCTCCACTAAGGTCAATCAGCCCTCCCCCCCCTCCAAGACATTAGACCCCAAAGAAAATTAAAGTAAGATTATTAAAATATTAATAATTTGGTGACCAAATTGGTGGTGGGGACCAGGAGCTGCAGCTCAACTCTGCTGTTGTCACCAGACAATACTTACGTTATTTAAGTGTTTTAAAAAGATGAGGAAGCGGTAAAGCCGGCGGGGGTGGCAGGATGAGGGGCAACACGTCTCTTCTGTACGACCACTGAAGTTCAACTGACCTTTAGTGCCCTTGAGGTTGGCCACTGTCCTGACCTTCACTATAACACCATCACTGATAACCTGACTAACTCTGACTACCACCACTAGATGGCACTACTAAACCACCACTACCACCACTAGGTGGCACCAGTATCAGTACTACTCATGATGGAGAGCTCAACCTGTGGGGGTCATGGACCACCTGGGAGGATGAGTTCACTCCCAGGTGGCATAGATCACATTCCTTAGATGTGATCTATGTCACCATCCAGGGCCGAATTTAGACCTTGGGGGGCCTGGGGCACTTTAGGTTTGGGGGGGGGCCCTCAACATGGAAATTAAATTGAATTACAAATAAGAAATGAACTAAAATGAATGATAAAAAACAGTTTTCGAAAAAAAATAGGTTTCGAAGAAGAAGTCTGATTTCATTTTCTTAATTTTATTGACTTTAAGAATAAGTGACTATAATTTTCAGTTTGGAGTATATTCCATCTACACTATATAATAATTACCGATGTGTATTTATTTATATCTTTGGTGTCAAACTTACGGTATCTATGGTGGTAGCTGACCAAAAGTACACATGGTTTTCACTGACAGGAAACCACATGGCTGCGTCTGAATCACATGGTGGGGATTCACTGTCCATGTCTACAGATACTTATGTAGACATGGCCCCCCAGGCCCCCAAGGTCTAAATCCGGCCCTGGGTTATGGCATTTATCACATGCAAGGAATGTGATTTATGCCACCTGGGAGTGAACTTATCCTCCCAAGTGGTCCATGACCCCCACGGGTTGAGCTCTCCATCATGAGTAGTACCCATACTGGTGCTATTAGTAGTGGTAGTGGTGGTTTAGTAGTGCCATCTAGTGGTGGTAGTCAGAGTTAGTCAGTTATCAGTGATGGTGTTATAGTGAAGATCAGGACAGTGACCAACCTCAAGGTCACTAAAGGCCAGTTGAACTTCTGTGATCATAGAGGAGAGACGTGTTGCCCCTTGTCCTGCCACCCCCGCCGGCTTTACCGCTTTCTCATCCTTTTAATACACCTAAATAACGTAAGTATTGTCTGGTGACGTATTTGTCAGGACAACAGCAGAGTTGAGCTGCAGCTCCTCATCCCCACCACCAATTTGGTCACCAAATTATTAATATTTTAATAATCTTACTTTAATTTTCTTTGGGGTCTAATGTCTTGGAGGGGGGGGGAGGGTTGATTGACCTTAGTGGAGGGGTTTTGATGCGAGGAACTGGAGCTACTCCCCTTCCTCTAATCAAACAATAATTCTCACACTAGGCATTACATAACCCATAATGGTGTATCCAGTTTTGGGCTATTTTTTTCCATTATTGAAAAATAACTTAGTGAAGGTCTCTTGATCCAAGGAATTTGCTCCTTGTGATCCAAATTATTAGTCATCAAGTTTGTGCAAAAAATATTTATTAAAGAAAGATATAGTTTTACTTACTATGTTAAACATTAATGGGTATATCAGTCAGGCAGTAATGTTACTAGTTTATATTACATGGTAATGTTTGCCTATAAATGTGTGTAATGTTCATGGTTATAATACAAATGTGTTTTGTTTCAGGTGTGGTAACTGAGGATTGTTGCGTCTGGCTGTCTACTGCAACATTGATCAACACAGCAACATTGACCAGTCTGAGGAGTGGAGACAACCACACTAGTAAATGGCCTCACCCATAAGTGTTATATGGAAATGCAGCAGTTGGAGACGTCGTTAAAAGTGGGCAGGGCCCACTTGTAAGGTATTTCCAGGTTATAAGTCCACTAAATTTGGTTTTTGAAGCAGATAGTAATTGTAATGTGGGAAGGTGGTGAGGAGAGTATAGGAAAGATTGTTAGCAATTGATATCAGAAGTAGCTTAGTGGGAAGTATTAGTTTATCTCCCGACCAGAGATGAAATCTCTGGCAAGGAAATAATAAGGAATATATCCTATAGGTTACCTTGAATGAGATGGAAGTAAAAATTGGAGAAATGGGTTGTAAAGCTTAGAACATAAGAAAGGAGGAACACTGCAGCAGGAAGGCCAGGACAAATGAAACCAAACTACAGGAAAGGGGACTACACAGGAATGAGGAACTTCCTGAATGAGGTTCAGTGGGACAGAGAACTGGCAGGGAAGCCAGTTAATGAGATGATGGAATATGTAGCAACAATGTGCAAGGAGGCTGAGGAGAGGTTTGTACCCAAGGGTAACAGGAATAATGAAAAAGCCAGGATGAGCCCATGGTTTACCCAAAGGTGTAGGGAGGCAAAAACCATGTGTGCTAGGGAATGGAAGAAATATAGAAGGCAAAGGACCCAGGGGAATAAGGAGAGCAGTCGTAGAGCCAGACACGAATGTGCACAGATAAGAAGGGAGGCCCAACGTCAATATGAAAACGACATAGCAGCAAAAGCCAAATCTGACCCGAAGCTGTTATACAGCCACATCAGGAAGAAAACAATCGTCAAGGACCAGGTAATCAGGCTAAGGAAGGAAGGAGGAGAGACAACAAGAAATGACAGTGAAGTATGTGAGGAACTCAACAAGAGATTCAAAGAAGTGTTCACAGAGGAGACAGAAGGGGCTCCAGAAAGACGGAGAGGTGGGGTACACCATGTGCTGGACACAGTACACACAACCGAGGAAGAAGTGAAGAGGCTTCTGAGTGAGCTAGATACCTCAAAGGCAATGGGGCCAGATAACATCTCTCCATGGGTCCTGAGAGAGGGAGCAGAGGCGCTATGTGTACCCCTAACAACAATATTCAATACATCTATCGAAACAGGGAGATTGCCTGAGGCATGGAAGACAGCAAATGTGGTCCCAATCTTTAAAAAAGGAGACAGACATGAAGCACTAAACTACAGACCAGTGTCACTGACATGTATAGCATGCAAAATCATGGAAAAGATCGTCAGGAGAAGAATGGTGGAACATCTAGAAAGGAATGATCTCATCACCAGCAGACAACATGGTTTCAGAGACGGGAAATCCTGTCACAAACCTACTGGAGTTCTATGACATGGTGACAGCAGTAAGACAAGAGAGAGAGAGGGGTGGGTGATTGCATTTTCTTGGACTGCAAGAAGGCGTTTGACACAGTACCACACAAGAGATTAGTGCAAAAACTGGAGGACCAAGCAGGGATAACAGGGAAGGCACTGCAATGGATCAGGGAATACGTGTCAGGAAGACAGCAGCGAGTAATGGTACGTGGCGAGGTGTCAGAGTGGGCACCTGTGACCAGCGGGGTCCCACAGGGGTCAGTCCTAGGACCAGTGCTGTTTCTGGTATTTGTGAACGACATGACGGAAGGAGTAAACTCCGAGGTGTCCCTGTTTGCAGATGACGTGAAGTTGATGAGAAGAGTTCATTCGATCGAAGACCAGGCAGAAATACAAAGGGATCTGGACAGGCTGCAGACCTGGTCCAGCAACTGGCTCCTGGAGTTCAATCCCACCAAGTGCAAAGTCATGAGGATTGGGTTAATCCCACCAAGTGCAAAGTCATGAGGATTGGGGAAGGGCAAAGAAGACCGCAGATGGAGTACAGTCTAGGGGGCCAGAGACTACAAACATCACTCAAGGAAAAAGATCTTGGGGTGAGTATAACACCAGGCACATCTGAAGAGCACATCAACCAAATAACTGCTGCAGCATATGGGCGCCTGGCAAACCTCAGAACAGCATTCCGACATCTTAATAAGGAATCGTTCAGGACCCTGTACACCTTGTACGTTAGGCCCATATTGGAGTATGCGGCACCAGTTTGGAACCCACACCTAGTCAAGCATGTAAAGAAACTAGAGAAAGTGCAAAGGTTTGCAACAAGACTAGTCCCAGAGTTAAGAGGTATGTCCTATGAGGAGAGGTTAAGGGAAATCAACCTGACGACACTGGAGGACAGGAGAGATAGTGGGGACATGATAACGACTTACAAAATACTGAGAGGAATTGACAAGGTGGACAAAGACAGGATGTTCCAGAGACTGGACACAGCAACACGGGGACACAGTTGGAAGCTGAAGACACAGATGAATCAAAGGGATGTTAGGAAGTATTTCTTCAGCCACAGAGTAGTCAGGAAGTGAAATAGTTTGGGAAGCGATGTAGTGGAGGCAGGATACATACATAGCTTTAAGCAGAGGTACGATAAAGCTCATGGTTCAGGGAGAGTGACCTAGTAGCGACCAGTGAAGAGGCGGGGCCAGGAGCTTGGACTCGACCCCTGCAACCTCAACTAGGTGAGTACAACTAGGGGAGTACTGCAGCAGGCCTGTTGGCACATGCTAGGCTGATTGAAGACTGATTACATTTTATGAAGTTTTAGTTAGTTAAATGTATTTTACAGTCAATATCCATCCTATAAGATTGTAGGAAGCAGAGATGAAATGTGTAATGATGTATCATGGTTCAGTTGGTAGTGGCCTCGACTGAAGAACCGAGATTCGATCCCTGGCACATGTGGGCATGTTCCCTTGTATCCATTGGCACTGTTCACATAGAGTAACACTGCAGCAGGCCTACTGGTAGGGGTGGCATCCTGGGGGAGTATAAATACCCAGATAAAAATGTCATAGATATCCTGACTTGGTGTAATTCTGTGTTAATCTACCGGGTTAATAATTATACTGAGATAGTTTAGTGGTGAGTGTAATGGTAGAAGTCTTGATGCCGGGTGTAAGGAAGGCCTATTAAATCAGGCATATTCATTAGTAAAACATAAAGAAGCACCGAAGCAGGCCTATTGGCCCATGTTAGGCAAGTCCAACTCTCAACCACTCATTTGTCTAACCTATTTTTAAAACTACACAACCAAAGTTTAAGCATCACATGATGGGATAAATTTTCCGTAGGTAGAATATATTATAGCCGCAAAAATCAATAATAATTCCTCAGAAATGTGGAATTAACCACATCTTCCTGTTTTCAGTAGTGTTGTAGAGGGCCTGGACAAGTAATTTTATGCTTTGAAGTCCCAAAAATATTTTCAGTGTAACCTTGTGGGTTTAGCGCTTACGACTCCAGAGTCTGTATTAGTGCGTCTTTGGGGGGAGGATTTGTTTTGAAATTGGGTTATACAGTATATTTACAGAGACTCTGTAGACCCCTTGATCTTACCTAGACCCCCTTGATCTTACCTAGACCCCCTTGATCTTACCTAGACCCCCTTGATGTTACCCAGACCCTGCTTGATCTTACTTAGACCCCTTGATCTTACCTAGGCCCCCTTGATCTTATCTGGACCCCTTTAATGTTACCCAGACCCCCTTGATCTTACCCAGACCCCCTTGATCTTACCTAGACCCCCTTGATCTTACCTAGACCCCCTTGATCTTACTAGACCCCCTTGATATCACCTAGAACCCTCTTGATCTTACCTTTACCTCCCTTCATCCCCCTTGTGCCGCCACTGCTCTGCAAATTAGTAAGGCTTATACCTGGAGTATGCTGCATAGTTGTGTATTATATATATATATATATATATATATATATATATATATATATATAATATATATATATATATAATATATATAATATATATATATATATATATATATAACACTTAGTTTCTACTAAATAATTGTAGACTTGCAATCAAAATAACTTTTAGAATTAGGTGGTGTTAAGTAGGATATGTAAGGTAGAGAAATGGAGAATCTGCTATATGCATTATGAATGCATATAGCAGGGGAGAGTAATCTCCCCTGAAGGCATAGATTACGTAGAACTGTAAGCCTTGGAACCCACCAACGACCTTCAGTAGCTGTCTGCAGTCTGTTATTGCACGTGGTTTCCGTGGGGATTTTGGTGGGTTCTGGGCTTTGGGTAGCGGTTGCGGTGGGTGTTCTACGTTTTTTATGCCTTTGGCCAAACTGCAAATTCAGATATTGATTCATTGAGTTAACACAGTTCCATCAGTTTGGAAAATTTAAACGACGTTCAGGTTTTTATGAATATAAAATTATCAGCGTCCAGAATTGCAGTTGGTTTGATAGTTTGTAATTTTTTTTATATTTTATTAAAAAACACATTACAAGGTGCACAGTTATACTCAACACAGTTCCAGTGACACGAACACACAGAAAGGATAACATACACCAAACCCCATGTTCCAAACTCCCCAAGAAATAACCATTCTATTGTGAACACTCACCACAATTTCTGATGCATACTCCCTTCCCCCTTTCCATTCCCCACCTAGATACTGCAAGATCTTGACAATTCTAGATAAAATAAAACAGCCCACACCCGACCGTACAATTGGCTGCCATTATGATGCAGAAACTTCCTATGCATGTAGAAACACACAAGAAATGAAAACACACCACATGGTGCATATAAGAAAAGAAGTTTCTTACAGAAACCACCTAAAGTAACAATAATGGCCGTGTATGTGCACACCAAAGGCCCACCCATCACAGGATGATGCTGCAAACGCCAGGAAGGGCTCGCAAGCCCCCAAGAAAACTAGTACCTTCACCCATCATACCGGCTCACCTTAGCGTGCACAGGCGCCTGTGGCCACCACACACACACTGTCATGACCACTCATGCCAATGACATATCCACTCACGCTGTTCTCGTTTCTTGCCATTGCACATGTGATTGTTACACACGCCACTGTGAAGCCACGTATATACAATTATATCAGCTTCCAAAAAGGTCCTAGCACACATCCTATGCAAACAAGAGGTATCCCCAACATCCTCCAACGCCCACCCTCATCGGCAAGCAAGCCCAAATACGTCCATCCCCTGAGCAATGTCTCGCTCCTACAAACTGATCAGAGTGCTCACTGTTAATTCACGGAAACCCACAGAAAATAACTCCCCCCACCTATGTCCGTATATACTCCTATTTCTACAGGATGTCGATGTCTGATACATCGTCGCGTCGCTGCCATTACGTGCTTGCGCACCTCCCACACTTCTGACCCCCTCATGCTCCAGGCTACGTATACTCAGTCTACCATCACATAAGCCAGTGCCCGCTCTGTCCCGTCTTCCACCCCCCACATCCAAACTTAGTGCCCGCAAAACCGACACACCCCACCTGCCCACACTCCACAACCCGACCTACCTATGCCCTGATCCCTTCCAGCCTTTCACAAAAACAAACAGCATAGAAAGCCGTATCCCCCCCCTCCGCATAACCCACAACACCCCTCCCCCACCCTCTTATCTTGCAAAACCACACCGAAAGGTAAAATCCTGTGCAAAAACTGGAACATGACCTCCTGCACCCTTGGTTGCAACCTCAACCTCCTGAACCTCTCCCAGATAGATGCCCAATTGTAAAGTGGGTAGAGCCCCTCCCACACCTGCACCTCAGGCCTCCCCATCGCCCTTTGTAAAACCCTCACCCTGACTTTCCTTACGTCTCAAACCACAGCCATCACCCACTATACTGCTTCACTCCTGGAGATCCTCCCTTCTGTACAAATCCCACAACATCTCATGAACCTTTCCCAACCTTCCCTCCCGGAATTTCTCCCCCCCCCCCAAAAAAAAAAATACCTCACACCTTATAAAAACACATTTAACCCTCCTCTGAAGATCCAACAGACCCATCCCTCCCCTTCGCACAGGTAACATGACCACCTCCCTTTTCAACCACTCGCCCAGAGCCCCACAAAACCCGGAACACCTTCCTCTTAATGTGCAATGGCCGGTGCAGTTAACGGGAAAACCTGTGCAATGAACCAAATCTTACTATACAAAAGCACATTAATCACTATTGCACACTGTTGAATAGTGAGGTGATGCAGCCTCAGTATCCTCAAAGTGGTCTCCACCCATTCCTCCAAATGACCCGAATTATCCTCCCGAGCCCGTACTAAGTCCCCCCTATAAAGGATACCATATATTTTCAACACCTCCACACAGTTCCTCACCACCTGTAACCCCCACTCCTCCCTGCCTTCTCACATCCCCAACCCAAGAATGAATGACTTCTCTTCATTCACTATCATCCCTGATGCTTCCCTGTAAATCCTCGCCACCTCCTCCAAAGCACCCAAAACTGTCCTCTCATCCACCAAGATCGTCACATCGTCCACATACTCTACCAGACTCGGCCATGGACTCCCAGCCCCACCCCTATCCCCATGCATTCTTGCCTCTACCAATCTATGAAAAGGTTCTTGCACACGCAAACAAAAGTTAGGAGAATGGGCACCCCTGCTGTTGACCCCTCCCAATTGCCATCCCCCAAAATGCCCATTAACTTGCACATGAACACACGCCTGCCTGTACAGTGTGTGCCCAACCCACTATTTCCTCCCCAAAACCCTGACTCGATAAGGTACGTTCTAATGCCATTCTCTCCACAGTATCGTAACCTCCTCTCCAATCCAATGCCAACAAACCTCCCCCTCCCCCACCAAGCTCAGCTACGAAATCTCATAATACCCTATGACCCATCACCATCGATCTTCCAGGCAAACCAAACTGGCTAGGGGAAACCACCTGTTCAATAACACACTTCAGGTGATTACCCAGCACTTTTGCAAAAAGCTTAGTCGGTGCACATTAAGGAGAGTGCCCAGTAATCATTAAGGGTCCGCTGATGTGACCCCTTCGGGACTAAAACCACCACCCCCATTGCCTACCTCACCCCTAAATGACCCTCGCATTCAATAACCTGACCAAAAAAAAAACCCTCAGCAGATCCCATTGCGGCAAATAAAACTCAAATGGGAGCCCATCAACACCTGGTGCCTTACCATGGCTCATACCCTCCAACACACACCAAATTTCCTCCTCCTTAATGTCCCCCCCAATGCCCCACTATCCCAGTCTCCCAATGGTTTCCCTACTCAGCCACACACCTTCCCCAACAACTCAGCTTGCACCCGTCTACTACACCAATAACACTCATACCACCTGTCAGCATACATTCCCATGCCCTCTGTCGACCTGAGCACCTGCCCTGGCAGATAACCTGCCTCCCCACCACACACCTCCAGCTGCGTAATTTCATTGCCCTCCTACGTTGTTGTTGGCCCCTCAGGACACAAGCCGATGGCCTATCCCCCCATAGCACCTCATCCATACCTGCCTGCACCCGCACTGATGTGAACATTTCGTTCTGCAACTCTCGTAACCTCTCCTTCAGGTCCTCAATCTCTCCCACCTGGTACTGGCCCTGCAAAGTGCCAATATGGTAGCAATCCTGTAAGCACTACTCCAGATAATTCGACAATATATATTTCATGCGATTAATTCTCTTCCCCTCCTTGTATAAAATAACTGAATCCTAGCCTTAGCAATACCATCCCACCAACTTACATCATCAACCACCCTCCCCTCCTCCCAAAGCTCTGCCCATAATGTGGCAAACCTCCCACCCCTCATCTGTGAGAACCTGCACATTCAACTTCCAGTAACCCACCTACCTCCTAGGTAACTCCTCCCACTCCACCTCCACTATCACAGTACAAACTGAGATGATATCCACTTGCCTCGTGACATATAGACGATCCAGTCTTGCCCCATGCCTCTCCCACACAAATGTATGCTCCACCTCCCATGACCCCCCATGGCACACATCCCTCAACTGAACATCCCTGATAAGCTCCCCCAGCATGTGCAATAAACCTCCCCCCTCGGCTCTACATCTGCCTGTCAAATTACAGAATTCCAGTCCCCCCCCCCCCACTACCACTAAGTCAGGTAACAAACGGCAAAAATAAACCAACTCATCCTTCACAAAAGCGTTTTTAACCTTTACAACATTCTCCGCCAGCACGTACACACAAACACACACAACAACTGGTGAAGAGGCGGGGCCAGGAGCTAGGATTCGACCCCTGCAACCACAAATAGGTGAGCGTGCACACACACATACGAGACACCCTTTCCCCTCCACCACCCCTAGATAACAAGAATCTGCTATATGCATTATGAATGCATATAGCAGGGGAGAGTAATCTCCCCTGAAGGCATAGATTACTTAGCACTGTAAGCCTGGGAACCCACCAACGACCTTCAGCAGCTGTCCGCAATCTGTTATTGCACGTGGTTTCCGTGGGGATTTTGGTGGGTTCACACAGTTTCATCCAAACGACGTTCAGGTTTCTATGAATATAAAATTATCAGCATTCAGAATTGCAGTTGGTTTGATAGTTTGTAAGTAGTGAAGTCTAATGCTTCTGGCAGCAGATGTTAATGATGAAAATATTGAAAACCTCTGTGATCTGAAACGAAGTGTTCATCAGCAGAAAGGATTCACTAACATCTGATGCTGATGAGTATAGTTAGGAGGGGCAATTTAGATTGGTATTAGTGGGATTAGGATTATTAACCCTGCTGGGTTAGAAACTCTACCTCTATTTTTCAGAGTGGGGGGGGGAGAGAGGTTTGAATGTAGTGGTCCTCAGGTTGTGCCTAGGATGCCAGCTATAACTGGCAGGTAAGGTAGGTTATGAATTCAGGTTAGCACAGTAGTGTGTTAGGAGACTGGTATACGGCAGGCCCCCAACTGGTTAGATAACCCATAGTGATGGCTGTTAGTCTAGTGTGCTATAAGGGACATGGAAATGTAGGGGAAATAGTGTTGTCTTAGGATCATTAAGACAACACTACCGTCATGTTAAATTTGGATGCCCTTCAAGGGGTGTCTTTGTACTAGTGAAGATATCTTGATACAAGCAGTTGCAAGTACCCTCCCCTTTGGATCAAACCTGATTGACATTCATCGACCTGTCCTGAGAGTTTGAATGGGGGGGGGGGGGGGGGGGGGGGGGGGGGGGGAGTGGTAAACTCTCGGGAGACAGGTCGATGAATGTCAGGTTTGAAATTGGAGAATAGTAGTGCAAGCTGACCTTTCCCCCCCCCCCCCTCCCCCCCCCCCTCCCCCCTCTCTCTCCCCTCTCCCCCCCCCCCCTCTCCCCCCCTCTCCCCCCCCTCCCCCCCCTCTCTCCCCCCCCCCCCCCCTCCCCCCCTGTTAAATACAGGCGTCTAAGGGATATTAGCCAAACTTAGGTTATAATGCATATTACGGAGTATACCCTCAATTTTTTTTAATTTTGTCAGGAGGATTCTGCGGCAGAGGACAAAAGAGGTTGTGATAGACTAGTCTCCAGTGTTGCATGCCGAAGTGTTTCCAGTGAAGATTGTTGTACATGACTGTACACTGTCACAACACTTGCCATGAAATTTGAGAAATGTATCACCTCAAACTACTAATAATGGCAGTATTGAGGCTATCTGCCTCATTACTACTATTGTTAGTAGGGTTGAGGTAGGTATATTTTTTTTTTCCCCGAGCTTAAAGCTCCCGAATTGTGTGAATGTTGTCCTCCTGCTGACAAATACAGCAGTTGAGGCTTGTCTCAGACGTCTCCTTTTTTTGTATTTCTTGTGTTCCTTGAACATTTCTTTAATGTGAAAGACATTACATTTTAATTAAGGCTCTTAAATATATTGTCTAAGTTTATCGAATCTTGTAGGTTAAAGATATTCTCAGTGTTGTGAAGTCCGTGTTGTGGGCAGCTGCTGTGTGGTGAAGGTCGTGTTGTGGGCAGCTGCTGTGTGGTGAAGGTCGTGTTGTGGGCAGCTGCTGTGTGGTGAAGGTCGTGTTGTGGGCAGCTGCTGTGTGGTGAAGGTCGTGTTGTGGGCAGCTGCTGTGTGGTGAAGGTCGTGTGGTGGGCAGCTGCTGTGTGGTGAAGGTCGTGTGGTGGGCAGCTGCTGTGTGGTGAAGGCCGTGTGGTGAAGGTCGTGTGGTGGGCAGCTGCTGTGTGGTGAAGTCCGTGTGGTGGGCAGCTGCTGTGTGGTGAAGGTCGTGTGGTGGGCAGCTGCTGTGTGGTGAAGGTCGTGTTGTGGGCAGCTGCTGTGTGGTGAAGGTCGTGTTGTGGGCAGCTGCAAGTCTTCAGAGATGTCATCACCAGCAGCAACACCCCAAAACAATGTCTGCAAATATAAAAGTACGGACATTACTAGATAATTCGTGAACTGCAGTAAGCAATATTATTATAATCAAAAAGAAGCGCTAAGCCACAAGACAGTAAGCAATAGTTTGAAGTCTTGTGTATTTAGAATACTGCCTTCAACAGTTTGTAGAAAGAAAAATTGCTAAAATATTTTCAAAGCTGATCAAAAATTACCATGAAATTGGAGTAATGGTTGATGGAACTGGAGGAGCTGGAGGTGTTGATGGTGTGGTGGACGGCAGAGAAGTGACTAGTGGCGCCACTGTTCTTTACCTCCATGGCTAAATGGCGCCACTGACCTGGAGGAGGGGGTGATGACGTCAGTGGTTGTTTGTGGGGAGGGGGTAGGTCGTTATGGAAAGGGTCGGGGGTTGGCTGCTGGTGGAGGGGTTTGGAGGTGAGTAGCTAGTTGTTACTGGTGGGAGGGTGATGGGGAGGGGAGTAGGTAGGGGGATGGTTGTCACTTGGTAATTACTAAGGGACTAACACAGTCTTGTTACTGTGTTAACCCTTTGTGGGCTCCGGCTTGAACCTTGATATTTGAAACGCCCTGAACACTAACCCAAAGACACTTGTTTGCCACATATTCGTAATTATAATGAACAATGTTCATGGACTCGTGTTGAAAACCGTCTCCTTGATGTTGGGCTGACGTATTTGGCATCTCTTGTGGGTTTAGTGCTTAGTTTTGTTCAGGCACGGATTCAGACATGGGGGGACCAGGGCACTTTAGTTCATTTCTTATTTGTAATTCAATTTAATTTCCATGTTGAGGGCCCCCCAAACCTAAAGTGCCCCCCCCCCCCAAGTCTAAATCCGGCCCTGCACATGTCCACTCCTGATCACACTTGCAGTGAGTTATTAATGCAAATATTATTAATTTGAACATTAGCTTTATTTATAGTTTACCTGGAGTTTACCTGGAGAGAGTTCCGGGGGTTAACGCCCCCGCGGCCCGGTCTGTGACCAGGCCTCCTGGTGGATCAGCGCCTGATCAACCAGGCTGTTGCTGCTGGCTGCACGCAAACCAACGTACGAGCCACAGCCCGGCTGATCAGGAACTGACTTTAGGTGCTTGTCCAGTGCCAGCTTGAAGACTGCCAGGGGTCTGTTGGTAATCCCCCTTATGTGTGCTGGGAGGCAGTTGAACAGTCTCGGGCCCCTGACACTTATTGTATGGTCTCTTAACGTGCTAGTGACACCCCTGCTTTTCATTGGGGGGATGTTGCATCGTCTGCCAAGTCTTTTGCTTTCGTAGTGAGTGATTTTCGTGTGCAAGTTCGGTACTAGTCCCTCTAGGATTTTCCAGGTGTATATAATCATGTATCTCTCCCTCCTGCGTTCCAGGGAATACAGGTTTAGGAACCTCAAGCGCTCCCAAAGTTATTTTTTACAGAATGGTCTGTAATATACAACTGTGGATAAAGTACTTTACTAACAACAAGAGGGACGAAAGATCAACAAGAGCAGCACTGACTCCTGCAGAACGCCTCTTGTCAACTCCATTACAGTTTGTAGATATATATGCGGACTAACTCAAGGCCTGAGCTTGCTACCATCTGCAGCTCATAAGACTGCCATCCCCACGAGCCCCTTTGAGGCGGGGTAGATGGCAGACCAGAGGCCTAGCTTCTCCCTACGAGCCTCGTAAGGGCGGGGAATGTGGCTAGGCCTGGGGACACTTGGTCCCAAAGATGAGGAGGTACTTGTACCTCCTCCCATGGGAGACTTAAGTCTCGAGACACTCCCCAGATAGGGAGCCAAGGCCGGGTCACCACTACTTGGAAAAGACCCGGGCCGGGAGAATACCGGCGAATAAAAATAAAAAAAAAAAACATGCGGACTGAATCAACAGGCTGGGTATCGGGGTAGCTTATACTGAGGTGTATACTGAGGTGTATGCTGAGGTGTGTACTGGAGGTGTATACTGTGGTGTTCTGAGCGTGTATACTGAGATATCTTGGGGTATCCTAACTGCGCTGTCTACTTGCTTCCTTACACACCTAAGCCTACTGCCTAATATCAGTATACTGAGTGACGTGATCACCACCTCACTTTCCCTGAGTGACATGATCACCTCCATCTCGCCTTTACTGAGCCAGTATGACGTGCACCGTCACCTCACTTTCACTCACGCAGTATATTACTGGAAGGAAAAAATATGGATTAGACTAATTATTCATGATTATTAATTCACGTTCACGAATTTTAATGACTAATTTCAATATAATTGGCCAATAATGAAGCCTTTAAACACGGAACAGGGGATTTGTACCCATGGGAAGTGGAACTTAATAAACCCTTGTATATGATTTTAAGTGTTTCTACCATACACCGGAAAAACCCGGGATGATTCCTGGGCAGGGAGAGGCGTATGACCAAGTCTTCTATGTCTCCTGACACCTGCTGCCTCTGTTACCTAGTAGTAAATAGGTTCTTGGTGGTTAGTTGCTTGTTGTGGGTAGCATCGTGGGTAGGGTGAGACGTACAAGTCTCCTAGTACCTATTGTCCCTGTTACCTAGTAGTAAATAGGTACCTGGAAGTTAGGAGATTGTTATGGATGGGCCACATCCTGAGTGGCGCCACTCAGATGACATTCAGGTGTCATCTGAACGCACCCAGGTGACACACCCAGATAACACCTAGGCGACACCTAGGTAACACCCAGGTGAGCATCCCACCACCAGCACGTCACGTCACACATGTTACGTGTTGTAACACCTCAATAACACAATCCGTGACGCCTCACAGATAAGAAAGTTCGGCTCGTTTTCCCTTATATAAAAACAACTCGCTGACTTCATCATTATTAACACTGTAACCAGTGATGTCACTTCCTCGTGACTTAACGCTATTATTGTCAACGCTCTGGAAAACAATTACCGATCTAGTATTGCGAAACGAAGTGTTCTAGTCTAGGAGAGACGAATAAATTTACATTATAAATTTAATATGGGGTAATTTCAAATTTGGCAGAAGTCCGTGGTTCGATCCCCAGGTACAGGTGGAAACATTAGTAGGGGGGAGGGGTGTTTCCTTAAGACACCTGCTGTCCCTGTTCACCTAGCAGTAAGTAGGTACCTGGGTGTTAGTGGATTAGTGTGGGTCGCATCCTGGGACAAAACTAACCTGATTTGCGAGGAATGCTCCATAACAACCGGCTTTCTATAAAGTATGTCATTGATGTCAGCTATGGTCTGTATAAGTTGTATCATGTACTTGTAGAAATAATGACACTAACATTAAAGTAACAGTATTTTGGGGGTCTTATGGCTGTTAGTAATCTACAACTTACTAAAGCTTTGTCAGCATTATGGACAGAAAGATCTCAAGTCATCGAATTGATGGTTGCTAGGATTTAATTGCGCTTGAGTTAAGGCGAGTGTTGCATGCAGCCTCACGAGTCTAGAACTCAAGTGGTAGACAGTCATAGAGTTGTTAGGAAGTGGAAGACTCTGGAGTGATGTAGTGGAGGCAGGATCTATACATAGCTTTAAGAAGAGGTACGATAAGGCTCTTGGAGAAGGGAGAGAGGACGTAGTGCGGGGCCAGGAACTGTGACCTGACCACTGCAATCACGAACAGGTGAGTACACGTAGCTTTAAGAAGAGATACGACAAAGCTCGTGGAGCAGGGAGAAAGTGGACCTAGTAGCGACCAGCCAAGAGGCGGGGCCAGGAGCTGTGACTCGACCCCTTCAACCAGTGCCTAATACATACACACACACACACACACACACAGGACAGGAGAGATAGGGGGGATATGATAACGACATATAAAATACTGTAATAAAGTTGGTAGAATTACCGACAATATGTAAAGTAAAAGGACACAAGTGCAACTAATGTGACATTTATTGTGGCAACGTTTCGCTCTCCAGGAGCTTTATCAAGCCATTACAAACAATACATGGACACAGAGGGTATATAAAGGCTCAGAGTGAGGTGTAATACTAGTGAGGTACCATTTCGATGTTCAATAGTGGTAGTAGTAGTAGTAGTGACAAAAGTAATACTACTACTACTACTACCACTAGTGAACATCGAAATGGTACCTCACTAGTATTGCACCTCACTCTGAGCCTTTATATACCCTCTGTGTCCATGTATTGTTTGTAATGGCTTGATAAAGCTCCTGGAGAGCGAAACGTTGCCACAATAAATGTCACATTAGTTGCACTTGTGTCCTTTTACTTTACATATAAAATACTGAGAGGAATCGACAAGGTGGACAGAGACAGGGTGTCCCAGAGATGGGACACAGCAACAAGGGGACACAGTTGGAAGCTGAAGACTCAGATGAATCACAGGGATGTTAGGAAGTATTTCTTCAGTCACAGAGTTGTCAGGGAGTGGAATAGTCTGGGAAGTGATGTAGTAGAGGCAGGATCCATACATACCTGGAGTTTACCTGGAGAGAGTTCCGGGGGTCAACGCCCCCGCGGCCCGGTCTGTGACCAGGCCTCCTGGTGGATCAGAGCCTGATCAACCAAGCTGTTACTGCTGGCTGCACGCATACATAGATTGAAGAAGAGGTATGACAAACCTCATGGAGCAGGAAGAGCGACCCAGTAGCGACCAATAAAGAGGCGGGGCCAGGACCTATGAATCGACCCCTGCAACCACCACTAGGTGAGTACACACAAATATTATAGCACTCGACACACTCGGGCGTCACAGAGAGCGGCACTGTCATGGGTATTGATGACAAATGCATTCCAGTTCATAAAATTAATATTTAACCTAACCAAAACAACCTCCACGACAAGTTTTAGTCTTGTTTTTGTGGTGTCACTGACAAATCCAAAGCAAAATTACCTCGTTAACATGAGAATTAGCGTAATGTTCGTAAGGCTGTTACGACAACACAGTAATGTTACAGCGTTATTATATAACGTTTGTGTCACGTTTCCGCCTTTCATTAATGTGTAACGTAATGTGTAATTCGTTATATCCTGTCTGTGGTTGTAACTCAGAAATGCAGCTGATGTTCACGGTGAGGGACGTGTTTCCTTAAGACACCTGCTGTCCCTGTTCACCTAGCAGTAAATAGGTACCTGGGTGTTAGTCGACTGGTGTGGGTCGCATCCTGTGGGCAAAATTAACCTGATTTGCCAGAAATGCTGTTTATAACTAGGGATTTCTATATAGAATGTCACTGATGTCAGCTATGGTCTGTATAAGTTGTATCATGTACTTGTAGAAATAAAGATTATTATTATATCTGTAGATGTAAACTTACCACCTTATTGTAGCTGTGGAAGATGCATCATAACAGTTCCTGTTGCAAGTT